TATACTTGTCAAAGGCGTTCCGAAGCTCGGGGCAAAGAGGTCGGAGATCGGCGGCCGTGCCGTATGGTTTGGTCGGAAATTTTTTCGCCCCGATCTCCGATCTCCCTTTCGCTGCGTCCGAATTTCCACGGAGTGCGAAAAAACTGGCGCGCGTGTACATAATATACGTATGGTGGACGGAAAGATGCAAAAAGTCTGCACACGAGAGACGTAGAGCGGTAGATGGAAAAATACAAAGCAACAAAAAAAAAAAAAGAAAAAAAAAAAGTGTATCTCGGTAAATTAAGTAAGATGCCCTCGTTCTTTCAAACCTCGCGCCTGCGCGCGCGGAGTTGTTACTACCTAAGTGTGTCAAGTCGAGAGAGAGAGAGGAGGCTCGTTATGCATGTGCACATTACGTGTCACGGTTTTTTCCTTCTCCCCTTTCAAATGTACTTGCTTTTTCTTCTTTTCGTCAACGGCACCCTCGAGTGTGTTTTACCTTTTAATCGAACAGGAACAACAACTCGTTTGTTTTCACGGCAACTCTGACTTTTATTGTCCAACACCGTAATGGGCACAAGCGTAACGCAGCGTTATAAATATACATGTATAAATAGTTTATAAAGTGTGTATAGATGAAACAAACAAAAAAAGGACAGTGAATCGCAGATGTATTGTAAATAGACTGTAGTGCGAGGAAAGAAAGAAAAACGTAGCGGAGCCGTATTGCAACATTAGCGAGAGAAGGAGCGTTTGTTTATTTCTGCGCTTCATTGGAATCGCTTATCGAAACGACTTTTCTTTTCCACCGTATGTACTTGAACTTTTGAGTAGAATACTTTGGCGCGTAATTTAGGGGAGTTGAAAATTTTCAGTGCCATTCCAATGGAGCCCGGGGGCGGTAAAGTGGAGTTATCGCGAGTCGCGCGATAAATTAAATTCGTAGGGGTTGCGACAATCGATTCTAAATCGAGCGAGGATGGAGAATTGTGACGGGGAGGAGGAGAAAAAAGTGGAGTAAATAAATGAGAAAAAGGCCTCGGGCGACATCCCTTTGGGAGTTTCGTCGATAAGACGACTCGGGAAAGTTTTCTCTTTTTTTTTTTCCTTATTTGCGTGCGGAAGTTTGATTGCAAGTTTTCTTGATTGGTTGTCGATACGGCGGGGGCGTAGTCACGGTAAAGCAGAAACAAACTGCCCTAAAATACTTAGGCGGTCTCTCGTGTCTTACTGAAAATGAATAATTCATTAAAAAGAAAAAAAACAAGAAAAAAAAAACAAAGAAAACAAATAGTTATAAACAAAGAGAATAATTAATTATTACAAAATAGATTTAAAGAAAAGATTGAAGAAATACATTATTAATGATAATTATGATTACTTGATGATGAAAATAAAAAAATCTCGCTTCCTCTTCCACATTCCTACGTAACGTGTTAAGAAAAAGATTTAATTGTATAACGAATTAAACGAGAGACAGACAGATAATTAATTGTATAAGGTGTTGTCGTCGATTTTTTTTAAACGAGTACGATATACTAAGAGAACACAAGATTACTTATCTAATTGTCATTTTATGCTCGACGAATCGACGATGTTTCAATTAGGTGTGAAAATGAAAATAGGCCGATTAAAGTACGAATGAGTGTTGAGCGAGAGTGACGAATTTTTTCCTTTTATTGTATACTTATCAGAGTTTATTATTAAATACTTGAATATTTAAACGAAATGCGAGATGCAGACGAGAATGAGAAAGTGAGAAACAAATGAGGGACAAAGTGGCGACGCTAATGGCAGGGTATACGAATAATAAAACAAATAAAAGCAAACAAGCTAATTTTTAATCTCTATGGTCCAGAAAAAAAAAAAAAAAAAATGATTATCGACTAGAAAAATTCAGATACCAGAAAAAAAGTACATTAATAGGTAAAAGAAGCATTCTAATTAATTGTCGATGTGATTGTAGTTTCTGTACGTTCAAAAATTTCATCGCAAAGTGTATGAAAAAAACAAAACGAAAAAACAAAAAAATAACAAAAAAACAAAAATAAAAAAAAAAATCAATGCATGAACAATAAGTTAATAATTATCGATGGCAGATGAAGTAATTTAAGTGTAAAACTCGAGAAGACGAACCTGTTTGTAGATTAAAAGCCAGAAAAGTCGCGAGACAGTAGCGTGATAGAAAACAAAAATGAAAAACCAAAAAATTTCAAGCTAATAATTGACAAAAAGAAGCCACGTTTGGAAAGAGTTTCGAGATGGAAAAAAAAAATCAATGAGTCTTTCAATTTTATTACCGTAAACTGCCAGTTTTTTCGAATCAAGAATTCAAAGCGTAAATCTCGTGCGTGTTTTGACAAAAAAAAAACAAAAAAAAAAAACAAAAAAAAAACAAATTTTGTCGTCGCGAATGAAATGACAAACTTACCGTATATACGCATGAGAAAAACTTTGTTCCCTTTATTTCGCAAAACAAAGAAAATTAAAGAAAAACACTATTATCATCGAAAAATCAATGATTTCTGGCATGTCTCGCATTAGATAGGTTCAATACATATCTTTTATTGTTAAAACAAATTTGATATTTACAATAATCTGGCGTAAGCTTACTTTGTCCACCCAACATGTATGTATTTACATTTTAGTTGCAATTACACTACATCAAATTCAACTGGTTGCAGTGATTACTTTTCATTTCCAATTTCACGACTCGTCAAATGAACAATTCAAATTTTACTTTTCATCACAGTAGAATAATCATCGATTATCATCATTAAAAATTTCACAAAGTGGCAAACTTTCAAAAGCTTAACAGCTATAAACTCTACTCTACTTCCTTTCGTTCGAAGCGAACTAAAAGTTTCATCCGTTGTACTACCTCGTCCAAGTTTCACTTTTTCCTTGTTTCGCACAAAAGCAAATGGCTGAGAAGTTAAATAATCAGCGAAAGCCAAAAAGCCGGCAGTTTGAGAAAAGATAAATATCGGAGATGGGCTTGCTCGCACACCCCCACACGGTAAAATTTGCTCTTTTCCGCCTCCTGTTTATTTTTTTCGCTCGCGAGATTAACGAGGAGAAGAAAAACAGCATAGGAAAAACATAAGGACACCAAACGCCATCGATGCGCCACGAGAGTGTTTCTTTACCCTTAACTTTTATTTTCCTTGTTTCGCTCTCATGCAATGAGATAGCGCAGCTTCGTTTGAAAAAAAAAAAAAAAAGTCACACCCTTAGGAGATATTGTCACAGACAATTAAAATAGGACCAGAATAGATGTATAGCGACGAAAGGTATAACGTTAATTTTTGGCAAATTATTTTTATGAAACGCCATCGCGCGTCCACACGTACATACACAACACACAAGAGACTCACGCAGAGACGCGGTACACCAAAATCCACTTTGTCACGGGGTGCCAAGGGAATTGAAGCTCAAAAAGCTGAAAAAAGGTTCCCCCCAGTTAGCAGCCAATATTTGGAGCATCTGTGTAATCTTTTGTTCGTAAAACCAACTCACAAACACCCACTACAGTAATCTATATGAAACACGCTATAATGGCTGGGGTACACAACCAACGTCGCGGTAGCCTTTTGTGTACATAGAACGAAATTGTTAACCAAAGCGAGACGCGTTTGAAAGGAAAACCACGGATGAAACGTGTATTGTTGATCGATCGTCGTTTTCGCGGTAGTGGACCATACTAAGAGAGAACCCGTATATTTTCGAAAGTCAAAAAGTTACCTTAAAGTGAGGGGTACGACGACGCGTGCTTTTTTCTCTCACCGGGTGAAAGTTAAGATTGGACTCGCAACAAAAAAAAAAAAAAAAAAAAAAACAATAAAGTGAACACCACCGTCCTCCTCTGTTCGCTCGAACCATCACGAAAGTCTCAATGGCCGCGTCTGGTCTTGCTTCTACGGTGAGCCAACTTATTACCTAGTGATTCTCGGGGCTGTCTTCGTATCCATACTCCTTTTTTTTTTTTTTTTTTTTTTTTTTTTTTTTTTTTTCCGAGAGAGTCGTACGGGTACCCTGTGTGTCTTTTGTTTATGATTCATGAGGTATATCGCAGATGCACCTCTTTGTCGAAGCGAGTAAGTATAACGATATATACCTATATTATAAAAACTTTTGCCTGTTTATATGAGCAATGAAAACAGTAGTCATTGATTATTTTGTGACATGTCGTCGTTCATCCACTCGTTGTTTTACCCCCCCCCCTCCCCCGTGTAGCAACTTTGTCTCGATATACCTCATGCCAGCAGTGTACTTCCTTAGGATCCATTTGGACGAATGAATTACTCGAAAAGTACGTTATATGGATACACACATACACACACCGGTCATACCGTGAGTTCGATCAAGTAAGATGCATCTTAAGCTTGCCAGTTTATTGCAGATTGTTTAAGGAATGTTTATTATCAACTTTTTTCATTTTTTTTCTACATCACGTGGCATGATTTCCCTATTTTTTTTTTTTTTTATGATAAAGACAATGACGAATTTGCACTTTTCTCTGTATGTACATACATATATACATATATATGTATATTTGCACCATTTGAGTACTATTGAGACAAATCAATGAACTTTCTCTACGTCCGTTTAACGATGCTGTTCAACCAAACTCGTATTACATGTGTTTATTTGACATTGACACAAGACGTCGAAATTCACAGAATAATTTCACTTTTTGTCACGGTAAGGCGTCAACAGGGTGATATACGCATAAACATGTACTTGATTGAGTCTTCAAAACTTGTCGCTCTCACGAAAACCTTTGTATCAAATGTACTTCCTACCTATAACATATTACATGTAAAATAATTCATATACCTCGGGAAGTCACACTTTCTCTCCAAACTCTACTTTTATTTTCTTTAATTCGAGTATTGGTTTTTTTTTTGTTTTGTTCCTCTGAATGGTACACCAAAGACAGCAGGTGAAGCAAAAACGATGTAACGGAACGTATCGCCAAAAAGACCCAAGATGCGAAGGCAGCTCCGTGTAGTAAATATGTTATATCGTAGAGATGAAAAAAAAGAAAAAAAAAGGAAGAAATAGGGGGGCAGGGGTGGCTAGAGAGAACAGTGGAAGAAAAAAAAGAATCGAGCCGAGTCGGGGGGAGAGTGTACACGAGCCATAGCTTGAAGGCCCGGCCGCGGAGCTCCTTCCATCGGCTCGGATCGATTCGGGAAAAAGCCTTCGGGGGCTGCCGCGTTCCTATACGCACGCTCCCCGGGCGGCTATACCACCACACGCGTGCACAGTTGCGGAGGGGGTGAGCGCTGATGGGGACGAGCTTTTACCCGCCGAGGGTATCCCAGGAATCTGACGGGCCGGAATGTTATACCCCCGTAATATACACACATAGGGTAAGTCGATCGTCTTACCCTCGGCTGGCGTCGATTCGGCAATTAGACCCCGGCCGGTCTGTTTGCCCTCCCCCGCAAAATTCAATTCGGCTAATTAATCCACTCCCACCCCGTCCTCTTCTTCCTCTCTTTTCGGGGCTATTGTCGGTCTTTCGCGGACTGTGTGTGTACACTGTCGCACTTTTACCGAGAGGAGCGAGCAAATACGGCTTTGCTAATGGATTCGCCCTGATGCATTGACCGACAGCTCTTCGACTCGCGTGTTTGCGTGCGCGTTTCCTATTATTAGTGTGTTGTTTGTACTATTTTTCGTTGCCCGGAAGGATCGGTCCTTGTCTCTTCCCCCCCTTTGCGCGCGTTCATTGAACCAGCGTTTGGATTATCACTACTGTACGAATGGCCAGTACAACAGTCATACCTGTTTTTGTCTTTGATTTCGACTCTCTCTTTTTTTTTTTTTCTTTTTTTTTCAAACTATAGTTGGGAGTGCTATACCTTGAGTGGAAATCCAAGTCAGCTCCTTTCACAGATAAGAGAAATTGTGGATATCAAAATCTCTCCGTTGCGTCGAATCCTCACCCAATATTTTTTTCCTTCGACGGAGCAGCTTATCGGTTAACGAACAGTCGAGCCAGTGTAAACCATAAACCACTTACCGTTTATCCGTGATTCACGCTCCATGAAGCACCGCTGACGAAAAAAGGATGAGAAAAAAAGAGAGTGTCCGCGTTAAATGGCCTATCGCCTCTCGATCCTTTGTTTACGGCCCGAGTCTCTTTGCCCAAGGGCTCTCGAGAAGCTGCCATCTCCCCCCCCCGGGAAAAAAAGACGATTGCCGGGCTCTCCGTGTTTACTTTTGTCTCTCGCTGATAACCAACGCCTCTGCACCTCCTTCCGCCGCGACTCATCCTTTGGGGAGTTTTAATGTCTCGAATCGTCTCCATTTGTCTCTCCCACGCGCCGAAGGAAAAAGAAAAGAAAATGTCTCGGGTGAAAAGCTCGTCCCCAAGAGCAAGTCCCTTGCATCATTGAGGCAGGAAGTAATGTGGATTGCACGTTTTTTTTTTTTTTTGTTTCTCTGTACTTGCAGCTGCGATGACAGGCGCGCACGTGTACGCACGAAAGACGCGTAGGGAACGAGATTCGAGCGCCTCAGAGGTAACCGAGTGCCAATAAATAATTAAGGATTTTTCATCGTCAGCGTCGCCCGCCGAGGAAGAAACAGAAGATACGAGGAACCCCTTTGAACAACAGCGCGCGCTGACTTTGTTTAAAAAAAACACACACACACACACACACACACACAAAGGAATAATAATGATAATGATAATTATAGTTGCGATAGATAGATAAAAACAAAAAATAAAAAGATTATTATTGATACACTTCGCCTTGTAACGATGTATAAATACTGACGAAGGGAAGGACTTCAACCTCTACACCTCTCACGTATATAGGCTAGGAATTGTCCTCGCGCTCGACGAGAGAGAGGGAGAGAGAGATGAAAAAAAAAAAAAAAGACGAACACGCGTGTGTGTCACG